TTTCTTTCGTTTTTTCCTTCCACATCCCTCTTTTATTTGAGTTATTTACACAAAATTATGACCGAATCCGATAAGGATTGCATACGTATCACGACGCCGCATGAATCAGATTATTACGTAGTTCAAGAAATAAATGCAAAATAAAACATTTTGGTAATTTTTTTTTTCAAATTTTCATTAAAACAAAACCTTTAATTTTGTCTATTGCAAATACTCGATCCTACATACTTGAGAATTGAAAACTACAACAGACTCAAAACAGACTTTAGGGAATGAAAATACAAACATGATAAAGAAAACACAATCAGGAGTACATCAGTGTCTCCAATCCTGTCCTAGGAACACCAACTGGTCTTGTCGCGGGCCTACGTGCCATGTTATCCTGGAGGCGATAGAGATCGTCCATTATCTGGTGGAAAAAGATCATTACTGAGGAGAAGAACATGGACCTGGTTATGTCCTCGCATCGTTGCATTTCATCACGATGTAGTCGGCGATTCTTCTAACCCTTCCGCTGATGATGCCCTTTTCTTTCAACAACTACCCAATCTGCTGAGATCTAGCCTCCAAGACTTGAGTGGCAGTATGATTCTATTATTGCAAATGTTGTAGGTCTCCCTCTAGCTGTGCCATCAAAGCGTAGCAATGTTCTCATCTGCAGCAGTTTGCACATCACTATCAAACTTGAGGTCTCTGATCTGTCCCTCTAATCTGCTTATGGTGGCCCGATATTCATTTTCTTTTGCCAACCACTCCCACTGTTCTAGTGATGCTTCGACAAACTCTTGGAAGTGGGGTCTTTTAGCTGGCCTTCCAAACTCAACTTCCCTTTTGTACCAAATCTGGCGAACTATTATTTCATGAATTGTCCATCAGAACGGATCTCGACCACATGGCGGCTAAGGTCTTCATCCTTGGGCACTATTTGACATCTCCCTAACTGTTTCAAAACCCGATATGGGACATAAGGCTGGATACTTCTGAGACCCATCAGGAGGAAGTGAGGCCCGGTAGCTGGCATGTATATGATTTCATCAACAGGAAGCCAACCGAACATTCATTCTATTTGATTTGCAGTGATGGAGAGGAGGCAAGATATCCATTCTGTGACCCCTTCTGGCATGTCAAACCCGTCAGCCCTTGTATAAAACTCCCTATGCAGCTTTTTCCTATCGACCCATAGTTCATGTACTGAGGACGATTACATAGATGTTCAATCATCCACATTTGTAGCAACAAGTTGCACCCTTCAAAAAAGTCTCCTCCGGCTTTGCAGGCTGTGAGAGCATGGAAGATTTCAGACACTATCATTGGTGCGAGGGTGCTTTTGGCCTGAGTAAGCAAAGTGCTGACGACCCTAACTATCCGTACATCAATATTCCCATCTTTCCTGGGAAACACTAGAAGACCCAAAAACACTACCATGAAAGCGAAGCACTCGTGTTCTTCCCATTTTAGTTGGTTCCCTTTGCTGCAAATTTTGCTTTCTGGATTGTTGAAACCCCCTATGTGTCTGTATCGCTGGTATATGAACTGTGCAGTGGAAAAACCAGCTGCCAAATCTGGGTATTGGACTCCCCTGCTTATCTTTAGCAAATCTAGAAACTTGTGTGGAGTGACAGCTCTTGGAGCGACCAAATACTTGTGTCTCAGAGCTTCAGTGCTCCCAATATACCTAGCTATCTCTTCCAAAGTTGGTGTGAGTTCAAAATCCGAGAAATGGAACACATTGTGAGCTGGATCCCAAAACATAACCAGTGCCTTTATTATATCTCCTCTAGGCCTGATCTTCAATAACCCGGTGAGACCCCCAAGTAAAGTTTGACCACATCTTGTCCTGATTCACCTAGATCTTCCCACCACATATACAGTTCCAAAGGAATCTTGGTCATGACCGTCATTAGCAAGTTTTGACTTGTGCTCATTCTGCACATTTAAATTAAGTTGATTGGTTTTAAAAGAAAGCGAATTTTTACAAAAAGGGGTCAATTTTGCAAACATTTAAATAACACGGCTACTTTTACAAAGACGTCCCTTCAGCACTTCAAAAGGGAAGATTTTAGGGTTGTGCTTGCTAGGTAGCGAAAAATTTGAAAAAAGACAGTAGGTGGTTATTCTTGCAAAAACAGCCTTCTGGCGTCCTTTTGGGGAACATTTTGGGCTATTTAGACAAGAATGACACTACCTAGCTTTATTTAAGACAGAATAACAACATTTCATTTTTTGGGTTAATTTTTGCAAAAATGGAGTTGAACCCAAAGGGGGTTGCCTATGTATCCCATATCCGATGAGAATCAAACTTGCGTAGTTCAGTCAGTTTTGACAAAAATAAAATAGAGAAAAGACATGAAACTTTTGAAACCAGCGTACTTTTTTTTCTTCAAAATTTCGGCAGAGTTTTAGCATATTTTGGACACCAGGTTTTTTTTCAAAGGCGGGTAATCAATTTTCTCATACCTCAATTTTATTTTTCTCAATTCCTTCCCTATTCTAGCAACCGGTCATCATGCAAACCAAAGCAAATAATTGCACAAGTAGCAGTAAAATATGCATCAGGATGGTCTTTGATTCTGGGGTCCACCTGTCCTAGATGGACCCAACCCCTGTGTTGAGTCCCCAAAGTCAAATGCACATGATGCAAACAAACGTTCCTACTAGGGATCCGGCATGAGGCTGAGTTATTCTAAGTT